TATGATTCCATGATCTTCCAACATACAGAGGCCTTCCAGTAGCTGAAAGGGGCTACAAAGGTGCTGGAGAGGGACTCTGCGTCAGGACCTGTAGGGACAGGCCAAGGGGAATGGCTTGAACCTGCCCGAGGGGAGACTGAGCTGAGCTCTTAGGCAGAAGCTCTTCCCTGGGAGGGTGCTGAGGCGCTGGCACAGGGTGCCCAGAGAAGCTGTGGCTGCCCCATCCCTGGCAGTGTTCAAGGCCAGGTTGGACACAGGGGCTTGGAGCAAGCTGCTCCAGTGGAAGGGGTCCCTGCCCGTGGCAGGGGTTGGAGCTGGAGGAGCTTTAAGCTCCCTTCCAACCCAAACCATTCCATGATTCCATCTCTTCCCATGGCTGTGCTTTACTTCCCATAGGATACTTGCTGACCACAGGGTGATCTGGCAGCTGGATCAGACAGGACCCTGTAACAAGGCTGTTACAACATACAGAAACCAAATTGAACAGGACAACGACAGCGCCTGGTCACGCCTGGAGCAGCACCAGGGTCAGGCACAACCTCAGGTCCTTCCCACGTTTTCTTCTTTCATCTGCCACGTCCTAAAGCTCACTCTCCACCACCGCATTCTCTTGCCCCAAATGCTTCTGTTCATGAGCCCCAACTTGCACTATGTTCTTAAAACCATAAAGGACTCCGAGCACGAACACCAGGCACTGGCCCTGGAGGACTGGGCTGGGGACTGTCTGACACAAGAGCATTGCTAGCAAAGAGTAGGTGAGCTCTGTTCTGATTCCGTGGAGGAGAACTGAGCACTGGCAGAGAGGGAAACTCCTTCTAAAACCCCCATAGGCAGCCATTGCCACCCTTGGGTGAGAAGCTCAGGCCAGGGGAAAGCTTCCCCTTGGTGCCTCGTCACAACCCAGTGGGAACTGGTGGGAGTGGGAACATCCACGCCACTGGGATCACAGCTCTCCCCTGGGCCTGCCTTGCTGTTGGCCCCTTTGGCATCACCGGGATCTTTACAGACACAATGGAAGCCTGGAGGTCATTGCTAAAGCAAAGCAGTTTGCTGCAGTGAATAGAATCATAGAATAGTCAGGGTTGGAAAGGACCCCAAGATCATCCAGTTCCAACCCCCTGCCATGGGCAGGGACACCTCACACTAAACCATGGCACCCAAGGCTCTGTCCAACCTGGTCTTGACCACTGCCAGGGATGGAGCATTCACAACCTCCCTGGGCAACTCATTCCAGTGCCTCAGCACCCTCACAGGAAAGAATTTCCTCCTTAGATCCAATCTAAACTTCCCCTGTTTCAGTTTGAACCCGTTACCCCTTGTCCTGTCACTGCAGTCCCTAATGAAGAGTCCCTCCCCAGCATCCCTATAGGCCCCCTTCAGATACTGGAAGCTGCTCTGAGGTCTCCCCGCAGCCTTCTCTTCTCCAGGCTGAACAGCCCCAACTTCCTCAGCCTGTCTTCATACAGGAGGTGCTCCAGCCCCTGAGCATCCTCGTGGCCTCCTCTGGACTTGTTCCAACAGTTCCATGTCCTTTTTATGTTGAGGACCCCAGAACTGCACACAATGCTCCAGGTGAGGTCTCACGAGAGGAGAGCAGAGCAGAGGGGCAGGATCACCTCCTTCGACAGATGCAGATCGCTGTGAATGGGATGCTGCCAACCAAACCCTGAGAGGCCAATCCCCACAAAACGCATGTGGCTGTTGCTGTAGCTTGGTTTCCATCATCACTCCCAAGGCAGTCAGGGACTTAGAAGCCTTTGATGGCTCCTCACCGATGCCTGGCCGTGCTTTCCTCCTTTGTAAGCAGTAACTCATTCCCCTCCAGTCTGTACAACCACGACGCCTGAGCCTTTAGGTGAGGAATGGTCAATGGGGACAGTTCTCTGCTCCCTTCCCTGCCGTTGGAGGAAACTTTGCCTTCATTCGTTCAGCTGCCGCTCTGCTGTACCAGGAGCTGCTTTACATATTCCTACAAACCGTAGCCAGGTGGGAGCTACAGCTCGGGCTCAGTTTGTCCTGAATGCACCACAATTACCTTCTACCTCCATTAATAAAGATAAGCAATGCACACGCAACCACTGCTACACACGCTGCAGCTACTGTATTTCAGAGCCCTCTCCCTGCCCCTCACATACCCCCCATGGGCAAGAGTCCCTACTTGTTATTGCCCCATCTATAGCCTGGGCAGAACGGTGCCTCCAGGCTGCAGGGGAAGCGCAGGCTCCTGCTCAGCGGGTGGAACGATGAGAAGTCAGGAGGCTCATTTCATGCAGGGCCCTTCTGTGAGCACTGCTTAAAAGATGGGAGCCTCCGGAGGCAGAGTGGGGCTGTTCCGAGATAGACGGGCCAATAAACTGCTGCGGCGGGCAGCGGAGAGCCCTGGCACCAGTAGAGGGCTGCGGCAGCGGGCAGGAGCCCCGAGAGCTGCGGGGCTGAGGGAAGGGAATGTGAAAGGGGAGGATGCCGGTGAAACTCGGCCCGAACCAGCAGAGCCCCTGAGTGCGAGCTTGCGAAGAAACGCGGAGCGGGAGCGCCCCTGGAGCAGGCTCTGAGCTCCGCAGGGAAGGGGCTGCCCCTTGGGTACCGCTCAGTCCCGCGACCTCTCCCTCCCGAGTGCGCTGCGCTGCGGATCACAGCCCCGCTCCGCTCCTCCTGCCTGCCCGCTCCTGGGGAAGTTGCTGCTGGCCCTGGAGATGCATCCTCAGCCTTTCCCCTGATCTAAGCTTGTCTCAGGCTTTGGGGTTGAAGCCCATGATGATGCGCCGTGCAGGGACTGTGAAGAGAGAAACACGAGAGTCAGGTGTTTGGTGGTACGTTGGGCTGAAGGATGGAGACTTTCTGCATCCTTCACTAATACGATGATGAGGTTTAAGACTTCATAAGCTGTCTGAATGCAGGGCCCTGGCTGGGCTCGCTCAGGCTTGAGCCAAGGTGTAAACCAGTGTTAAATGTTAAATCTGTCACTCCAAGAACTGTTTGTTTCAGGATCCAGGCTCCTGCTACAGCCCCTTCTTGCTTTAAAAGCCACATAACCACAGAACAGACAAGTCAGCCCAACCTCCGAGGGTCCCACTTGATGATCTTAAAGGTCTTTTCCAACCTGGTTGGTTCTGTGATTCCCTTCACAGCTCTGAAGTACAGACGTATTTTAAAGCATCTCAGCACCGCAACAGGGTTATGAATAAATCAAGATCTACTTTAATTTAAAACACGAGTGCAAAGGATTCACAACTACAGGCGAGCAGGGCCCTTTGTTTCAAATTAGAAATCTTCCCAAAGCCCTGCTCTTTGGCATTAAAAAAAAAGCAGATATCTGGAATACAGAAACATTTTACATCAAAACCTTCCAGTGCAGCTAAAGAGGAGCCAGATGAATTCATTCCAACCAACTTCATCAGCCCCAAACGCAGACATCCAGTCTAGACAAAGCAGCCCCATCCCTGTACTGGCCACAGGCAGAGTGGTGGGAGAGACAGCGATGGTCCCTCAGCGGGTATCTGGGCTAGCAGAGATGAGCCACCTCTGAGGTGCTCCCCTCACCATGGTCTATAGAGCCAAGCTGTGTGCCTCGCAGACTGGGTGCCCTCCGTTTGCTGGCTGGCAGCAGTGCAGATGAATTCCACCCCAAATTACTTCAAGTAATCAACCGCGGCTTCAATTCTGAAGCAGGATCTGTAACCGGAGTCAGGAGCAGAGGACAGAGCTTAGGGACATCCTCTGCGACTCCGAGGTTTAGTTTGAGACACAACAACTGCCCCAGGCATAACTTGAATCCCAGTAAATCTGTATCCTCCAAAGAGGATCCGAGCTCCACGTGTAAGGTTACACTCTTGAGACCTCACAACACCACGCACCGTTACTGTACAACGTCACGTCCTGACCTCGAGCCCGACGACCCTTGGCTAGCTCACTGATCAGAAGGGGTACCATACCAAACAGCTACATCTATTGGAAAAGAGCTAAAAGAGCAGTTTCGACAGCCGGTAACCTTCCAAATGCAGCAGCAAGGGGATGGTGGGGAAGGGGCACACCAAGAACGGAACATAGAGCAAAGGATTCTCGGCTCCCCGTCGTCTGCAGTAGCGAGGGGGGGAGACAGAGGCTCAAAAAAGCACCTCATGTGAACACAAAACTCCCTCGCGGGGTGCGCAGGAGAGCTGAAGCTTTTCCATTCAGTCTCCTTGAGCATCCTTAAGGTGCTCCCCAGTGACTGTCCCTGGGAGAAAGGGCTGGGAGAGAAAGCAAACACAGGAACCAGCTCGCACAGCTCCCCCCCCAGTCCAAGCAGCACTTGGAGGTGTTGCACATAGCGACCTTCCAACCGCGAGCTCCTGGTGGTAGGAAGCCCTGTTGTCAGAGTCTGCGTTGGAGCCTGCATCCGAGGGTTTCCCCCTCCAAAAGTTAACGATCATGAAATGGATTCGGGATTGACCACTAAACCACACCTATTCCTCAAAAGAGAAGCACGGTGATGCAAGAAAGCCATTTCGAAACAAAGGTACACGTATCACATCTGCTCCTTAGGAATGTGGGTACAGCTTTGGAGGGCCACATCTCACGCAAGGAAAGGAAAATCATCTGCCAAAAGGTCTCGGAGGCGAAAACCTGTCAAGTCCTGGGGCGTTGTGCGAGGGGTTTGAGGGGTCTGCGCCCCACAGGGTACAGCTGAGTCAGCTCGGGGCTCCAGTGTACAAGCAAGGAAACAAAGATCACATTTCTCACGGGGAAATACTGTTCCACTTCAGTAGTCAGCAGCCAAGGTCTGCAGGAGCCCGCAGACATCCAGACACGCAGCTTCAAGAGGCCGCTCTTCAGCAGCAGCCATCCACAAGCCATCCAACACCTGCTCGGCTCTTGAGACACGCTTGCTGTCGTTCGGATGCAGTCTCTATTGATTGTCTTCAGCGAAAGAGGAGCCACGGCAGGCTGAGAATGCAAGGGCGCAATTCCCATTCAGCCGGTGACGAGTTCCAAGCACCATTCCCGCGGCGAGGCTGCCTCTTCACGGGTCAGGAGTAACAAAACCTCTGGCTCTTGGTGAATCCGGGTCCAATAAACATCGTTTTCCCTGCCGTTTCCCTTGGGCAGGTCAGCAGGTAGACGTTCTCTTCCTGTACTGTTGGATGAGGGGGACCAGGCACTCGGGAAGTCCTGTCTGGAGCAGAAAGGGGTGATCCAGCAGCTCTTGCGCCGTTGCTCTTTCCAGCGGATCCCGGGTCAGCATCCTCTCCAAGAAGTCTCTTAGGACTGGGGAGGTCTGTGAAAAAGCAAGCAAGGCAAGGCCGTCAAGGAAGCGTGCAACAACGGGCTGCTGAGGTGGCTTTGGTGCTTCCAGCCCTGCTTCTGTATAGGGACGCAGCATGAGGAAGCATGCGGCCGTGCTGCAGCAGTGCCTTTCTGTCACTGGTTTGTTTGTAGCGGGGCACAGCAAGCCAACACACACCACCCACATCCTTCCATCTCAGTTAAGTGCAGTTCCCAGTTTGTTATTTAACCTTTTCTGCCTCTAAACTCAAAAATACAACAGGTTCCTGCCCCCCCCTCCCCGTGCACATCCCTTGGGTGAGAGGGGTTCAGTCCTTTATGGGCTGCAGACTGTGGGAAAAGAGCAGCTCAACAGGGTTCCAAAGAGCTGCTGGCAGCCCGGAGCCCTGTTGCTGCAGTACAAGAAGCTGAAGCACAGCGTACCAAGAAACCTCAGCGGGTCTGTGCTTTGCAAGAGGCACCAAAGCCCACTGGGCAGCCAGAGGCAAGAGCCACTCGCAGGCTGCGCGTCTCTTGCTGGTGGTAATCCTCTGCATCATTAAAGTGGAATAAAACATCAGCCTGGCATGTATTGACTTTAATGCCACTAATTCCCCCCACTTTAGACCGGGGGTATTTTCCCAGCTCTGATTAACGTGGAGGTAGAGCCTGAAATGCTCTTCACACTGAGCCACTGCTTTGAACGGTTTCACTGTGACTGCCAGAGGCAGGAGGCCCAACGCAGCTCAGGACGGGCGCCTGGATTTATCACTGCCCATAAATCAAGTTCTGCTGTAGAAAAGCAGCACGGATTACCCCCAGTGCTGTCTGTTCAACCCGTTGTACCCGGTTCTAGAGCCGTTGACCACAGTGAGCAATCAGGAGGGATCCTGCTCGGACAGCAGGGAGATGGGGGGACCACGGCCATTGGTCGTGCTGGGTGCCAGTTTGCTTCCCAGGACAAAGTGGAGCAGGGAAGCCCATAAACACGTTTGGCTTTCCCAGCCCGTGCAGGGTCACCTCACCACCTAAGGGGTGTGATCCCAGCCAGCGCAGGCTGTGCAGCTAAGGAGTGCAAGCACTGGGTCCGGAGTGTGACCGACCTTGAAATGCAGATTCATGTTGGGAAGAGGGAAGTGCAGCTGTGGATGCGTGAGTGTCTGCTGTTAGTCCTGCACTCTGCTCTGCTGAATAATTCACTTCTAGCAGCTGCAGATACTCTGAGGAACTGGAAAGGCCCAACGGCTCGGGATGCTGCAGAGCTGTTTGATCTGAGAGCCTTGGGCTCAAATGAAAGGAGGACTGGCTCTAAGTGGCGGCTGAAAGCTAATCGCTGTGTTTCTTACGTCACCGCTACTTTGGCCTATGGAATCATGAAGCTGAGCTCTTCTTCAGAGTGGCTGCAGTATCTCCATGAGCTACTGCCTGCACTGAGCTCTCCTGCTCAAACCATAACGCAGCCTTTGCAGTCCTGAAAGCCATGAAGCTGGAAACTCTCAAGAGCAAGCATCCTCCTCTTCGCTTCCTTGGAAGATGAGTTGCTCTATCAACATCAGCAAGACGTTAACTGCTGGGTCTGCCTGAAGCAGCTTTGATTGGCATTACCAGGTTGATGCCCAAGTGACCTTACATTATCAGGGCTGCTTCCCAGAGCAGCCACTAGCTGTCAGCACCAGCTTGCATCCACCGAGGCACCAGGGCCGAGGAAGTTCACCAAGAAACCTGTGCTAGCAAGATGACTTTCCCACCGGCTTTACTGGGAACATCTGCTCTGATAGGGACGTTTCCCCGTGAGCACTATCGGGTTCACATGGCAGTATGCTCACCCTGTGGAAGTTCTTCAGCTTGGGAGGAGGGCTGTCACGGAGCCTCTTCATTGCCTGGACTGGAGAGTCACTGAAATAGGGGGGTTCTCCATCCACCATCTCTATCACCATGATCCCCAGAGACCAGATATCCACCTGTGGAGGCCAACATCACGTCAACACACGATTCAGAGCAACAGGTCCTCGCTTTGCTGCTTCCACAACAACCCACCCGTGACCGATGAGAGTAAATCATTAACCTACTTGGCTGCTGTCGGACTATTAACAAAGAGAGCTTTCCACCTAGGACTGAGCCACGCTGATGTTGCAACGCAGAAAGGTCTGCAAGTGACTGCTTGTGCTGCTCCTGGCTGCTTGCTGAGCAGCACCAGTCATTCTGCTGCCACTGCCTGTAAAACCAGAGCTCCCATCTGTGCCTTCTCCCCTCCCCTCCCTTGATGGCACCGATTTCCTGATCCATATCGTGCCGCAGGCTGCTCCCTGCCAACATCTGTCCACACGCGAGCACGTACAAGCCTAGGCCAGGCTGCAGGGATAAGAATAGAGCCTTGTTCCCGGAAGCAGAACAACCTGTTCTTCTCCTGTGTCCAGAAATGTTGGTATCGTCCCAATCATGTGGAGTCATGATTGCATTTGTATTTTAAAGAGGCTCGAGAGGCTCTTCCTAGAAAAGCCAGCAGTTATTTGCCTGCGACGCTGCAGAATAGGATCTCCTACCTCCTCTGGCATGGGGGAAGTGGTCCCTTACCTCGGTAGTGTACGGTATCCTTGCGATAACTTCTGGAGCCATCCAGTAGGGAGTACCTACGAGGGACTTCCTCTTGGGTACATCTTTACTGATCTGAGCACAGAAGCCAAAATCCGAGAGCTTGACCTGGACAAACAGAAAAGGAGCCAAGCTTCAAAATACTCCTGAAGCAACATGGAGGGGAACAGCAGAGACGAAGAAGACAAAGGGAGGGAGGAAGAGGTTTGGGAGCCTCTTGTTCACAAACAAGAGGCTGTGAACAGAAAGGAAATAAGGAGGCAGGCCGAGGCTGCAGCAGCAGGTGGCAGGAAACCGTCTGTCTGAGGAACATACCCTTCCATCCAGCGTCAAAAGGATGGAGTCGCTCTTAATGTCTCGGTGAATGACCCCCTGGGAGTGAAGATAGGTCAGAGCCTGCAGCACTGATTCACACACTGTGGCAATTTGCTCTTCATTTAGCCTGAAACGAAAGGACACAGAGGGTTAACTGCATTGCGCTGGGCAGTTGACAGTGCTCGTCCACAGGTCCTCCTTGGAGGCACAATGCAATGTTGAAGTTGAGCTGCAGACATGTTTTGGGTCCCCATGGCCATGACTGTCTCACTTTTACTGTTCTTCTAGGACTGCCTCTTACTGTGGAAAACATTTCTGCCCCAGTGGTTAGCAATTTTAAGTTTTCATAAGTCTAATAGAGAGAAATTGCATTTAAAGTCTGGCCTCTCAATTCATTCTGTAAGATGCTGTTTCAAGCAGTTCTGATAGGAAAGCCTGCTTCTTTGTGCCAAGGTGCCACAGGAACTGTTGAGACAGCTTTTCCTTAAGCCAGTGCATTAAAGCCATTGTTCACAGGGCTCATTGTGCAACTTTATCCAGAAAGCATCTAAACACATCATTTGAGAGGGAATAGGGGGATCCTTTACAGGTGTCGTGCAGCCAGACACTTTGGATGCTCTTATACCCAGCTAAAGGCAGCACAGACTACAAGCAGGGAGGACACCCCTGAACGTTCCCACTCTCTCTGTTAGCACACGCTGAGTACAAGCAGTGACAGATGTATGCTTCCATTGGTTGGTTGGTATTCCGTACCTTACTCTACCGAGCTGACCATCCCACCAGGACAACTACGTGCAGCTGCACCGTGCCACGCTGATGGCAAGTACATCTGGAGGGTGGCAGGGGCTGCTTTCCATTTAGCTTGTAAAGGGAGAAGGGCAAAGGCTAAGGGAGGGACTACCCTAACAAAGAACCTAACCTATGTAGAAACAGTGCTTTTCATTTCACAGTGAGCTCTGAGAGAAGCTGATGCACGTCTGAGCTCTGTGGTTCCAGAAGGTAACAAGAAGTGTGCTTTCAGCTTGTCACGTATGGCATTTGGTTTCAGTCAAGTGCTTACATAGTGTGAACCAGATTACTAGAGGATTACCTCACTCCTGGAGATGCAAATCAGTTATCAGCCTCAGCAAATGTTTAATGAGTGGAATGAGGGCATTTTCCTGCCGGTGAAAAACCGAGAAAGGCTTGCAGCTTACCTTTGATAAATGCTGGGGTTAGGACAGATCCTGTTTCCACTAAGTGGAAAAACAAGCATCCATTAAAAGCCTCGAAGGAAGGCTTCATAAAATAACTCACATCTAGGCTGAGGTCCCACAATGGAATTCAGTCTCATTGGTGGGTATAAACTGCACAGGCCCTCCATAAACCTCTTCAGGACGTTTATCTTTCCTTCCTTTGCTCCTAATGCCAGCTGAGCGCTGCAAGAGTTTCACTGGCTCTGCAATGCCACAACTCAGCCCTCTTCAGGCTTCCACTTTGCTTCTCAAAGCCGGAGACGTGGCTCTGAACTCAATGCTGCAGGGCCTGGCCAGCTCCGAGTGCCCAAGACACTCCTTATCCAGGGGATTGCAGAGGCTACAGAGGACAATGTGCTTTGTACGGCTCCCAGACACATCACACATACACTTCAAACAAAACCCAACAGAGCAAGAGCTGGGCCTTAAACCCACCCCAGGCTCAGCAAAGGCCAGTCAAAGCACTAAGCGAATGAGAGGCATACTGTGATTAAAAAGAAGCAAACACCATTAGTGTGAGCACTACTGCCTACCTGTAATCCCGTTCAGATTCGGAGTGTTCAAAGAAGGAACGCTCATCTTACAGACTCCCTTGGTCAGTCTTCCCATCAGCATTCCCTGCACCAGTCTTGCAAGGACTGCTTGGGAGCAGGAGAAGGGTGCTCCGGGGTCAATGTAAGACACAACCATCATAACTGCAGCACCAGAACACCCTGATTGGGTGTAGAGTCCCTGTGATTGGGACTCTAAAGGCCACCTGAGAACAGCTTCTTTGCCCTACAGAAATACTTGGGGCCTTAATGAATATGAAGTGGTGTGGATGAGAAAACACATTTAGGAGAGTGTCCGGTGGTTGCTATCTTTAGGCAATGAAATTTGGGAAGGAGTCCAGGTCTCCAGGCTCTGCTGCACTTCTCCAGAGGAGTTCGCCACAAATTCAATCTCACTGAGGTTGGACCACTGAACACTGTTTCTGTATGCTCTTTAATACTTATTCAGTGAGCTTCCTGGCCAGAATTCAATGGAAATGGTAAATAATTCTCTTTATGAGTACTGTATTCTGCAGGGAAGGTTATCAAGTAGATAAATAGCAAGTATCGAAAGGGATCAGTCCCGTAAATGAGGTCCTTCCACATCAGAAGTATTATCACATACTTCAAATGAATAACAATTAAGAAGTGCAGTAGTTTCAGGGCACTGCAGACACAAGATCAGAGGGAAACTCTTCTTCCTAGAGCTCTCCACTCTCCTGCTTTTCCCTGTCAGGGGGGAACACAAGCATTGATGCATCGGATTTAGCTTCATACCTGATCTGAGACACGATGTCTGTGAGGGCTCCCCCCTGTAGGAACTCCATCAGCACCCAGAGCTCCTCTCCCACCAGGTAGCTCTTGTACATCTCCACTACGTTGACGTGTTGGTAGTCCCTCATTATCACCACCTGTATAAACACAGTGAACACTTCACCACCACCACCAAATCCCTAACAACATCTAGTCTTATCTAACAAAGCAACCCTATGCGTACAACGCAGTAGCCTCTATTCCCCAGTCATTTCTCTTAGAATCACAGAATCATAGAATAGTCAGGGTTGGAAAGGACCCCAAGATCATCCAGTTCCAACCCCCCTGCCATGGGCAGGGACACCTCACACTAAACCATGGCACCCAAGGCTCTGTCCAACCTGGCCTTGAACACTGCCAGGGATGGAGCATTCACAACCTCCCTGGGCAACCCATTCCAGTGCCTCAGCACCCTCACAGGAAAGAATTTCCTCCTTAGATCCAATCTAAACTTCCCCTGTTTCAGTTTGAACCCGTTACCCCTTGTCCTGTCACTGCAGTCCCTAATGAAGAGTCCCTCCCCAGCATCCCTATAGGCCCCCTTCAGACACTGGAAGCTGCTCTGAGGTCTCCCCGCAGCCTTCTCTTCTCCAGGCTGAACAGCCCCAACTTCCTCAGCCTGTCTCCATACAGGAGGTGCTCCAGTCCCCTGCCATCACAAGGAGATGCCTCCTGCTCTCCCCTTCTGTTTCCCACACCGGCTTCACCATGGCTTCACGGTGGGCAGCAGAGCCCCTCTCATCTCTCCCCTCACCTCATTAAACAGGAGCTCGCGGCGCTGCTGCTTCCTCAGGTCCATCATTTTCACAGCCACTTGCCGCCCCGAGTGCTTCTCTCGAGCGATGCACACAATGCCCGTGGAGCCTTCGCCGATCTTCACGTAGTTCTCCAGCAACGTCCGCGGGTCGCCTTGGTCCACGACCATCCTCAGGGCAGCCTTGAACTGCTCGTGAGTCACCACCACCGGCTCCTCTCCGGCCGGCGGCCCCTTCGCAGAGGAGTCCTGGGGAAGGTGGAGGTTGCTGGAGCTCGTCTGAGTCTGCCTGTTCCGAGGAGAGCCGGCAGGGGAGGGCCGGCCCTGCGGCGCTGCCGTCGCCTTCTCCACCGGTGGGGACTTGTGTGGGCTCCCAGCTTCTGAGATCACCCTGGGGAAATCGGATGCGGGCTGCTCCGGTGGAAGAGACTGGGCTTTGGCTGCGGGGCTGCGCGGGGAGCCCCATTGCTGGGGCCTGAAGAAGGCGTTAGGCTTTGAGGAGAGCAAGCGAAGTGGAAGGAAGGAAAAAGCAACGGTTAGATTCACGAGAAGGAAGACGTGTCAGGAGCCAGCTGTGCGTTATCCCGCTCTGGCCTGGGACGTTTTGCGGCAGACTGGAGTCAAGAGCTCTGGGCTCTTTTCTCTCTGTTGGGCTCTGCCCAACATTTGGTCAATGAGAACCTGAGCACGACCTGGCTTCTGTGGCACTCGCGGCCAAGAAACCACCCATGTGCTGGGCTGCATCTCCAGAGCACAGCCAGCAGGTCAAGGGAGGGGATTCTTCCCCTCTGCTCTGTTCTTGAGGCCTCTCTTGGAGCACTGTGTGCAGGTCTGACATCCTCAGCCTAAGGACATGACAGCGTTCAAGGCAGGTTGAACATTGGGCAATATGGTCTAGCGTGGGGCATCTCTGCCCATGGCAGGGGGTTGGAACTGGATGACCTTAAGGTCCTTTCCAACCCAAGGCATTCTATGAGTCTATGAACACGCACTGCATGACGAGGGGAAGCCCCATGGATGCAGGTTTTCAGGGATCAGTTACAGGACGGGTGCTGTGCTTTAAGGGCCCCCAGATGGAGGCAGTTTCAAAGGGACCTTTTAAAACACATGCTTTAAAAATAAATACCAAATGAACCCAGAAAGAGCCAGCTGCTCTAAAGCATTCCGAGCTTGCCACCAGAACGCAGGGCAACCTGTGCTGCAGAGAGTGCAGGAATCCTTTATCCCTCTGCGCCTCTGATCTTCCTGTATATAAAAGGATTCGTGCCAAAGCTGTAAATCACTTTGATGTCTTGGCCTAATTCCCTTTGGGTAACTCTGCTCTGCCTACTGCACCTTCCACTGGTACCTGCAGAGCATCCGTGTCGATCAGGCATGGAATTCACCCTGGGGTTTGGGAAAGCGCCTTCAACCAGGATAGCTCTGTGTGTGTCCAGGGTGAGACTTCAGCCACCGAGGACTATCCACCCCCGTTGGCTCTGCACCGAGCGGTGGTGATGAATGCTGGTTACCCGTGCTCCTTCCCAAAGCACTCCGGGCTGTTGGAGACCTCCCACTCAAGCACCGACCTGGCCCAGCCCTGCTTAGTTGACGAGATGCAGTAAGATCCCAGCCTGCAGCAATGTGGCTTCGGGATACACATTCCCATGCTAACGCTATGCACAGGGCTCCTAAGGAGGATAGATCTTGAAGTGCTGGAAATAAATCCAACATCGTGGAGCAGCTTTAAATTACATTATCTCCTTAGCTCTATGCAAAGTAATGGTGGCTCTGCCAAAGTAGCAACTTCAGGAGGAGCCAGCCGAGCATTCTTGTTAGAGGGCAAAATAAAAACTTCAAAGCAGCAGCTTTTCCTCTCTCACAATTGAGACAGATTCTTACTAAAGTTAATGATATGCACATGGGCGCTGAGCCCTACCAACAGATAAAGCTTTCCAAGGGCTCTCATTGCACCCGCCTCAGACAGAAAATCACTGTGGAGCGTTTCATTCCAGGCACTTTGGGTTTAATCAGGATTCCTGTGGACACTGAAATCTGCATCAAGCCTCGCACAGGGCTCCTGCTCCCCGGGCACACAGGGGCCTGGGAGGGCACAGGCACAACGTGCCTGTCAGAACTTCCTTCCTCCTCCTCCAGCAGCAACACCCCGCAGCCTGCACAGACACGCTCACGGCAACAAGGGCTTTATCCCAGCTCTTGTTTTGTCTCGGGAGGGAGGGGAAGAAAAGAGGAGGAGGGGAAGAAAAGAAGGGTTTATGTAACCTAGAGCACGCAGAGGGCACACAACACCCGTGCGCGCTGACACACGTTGGCCTAACCACGTGCGAGCGTTGTTTCCTGCGCCTGTCAGTTGACAGCCCTTGCGTCGACACAGTCTCTGGGCATTCGGAGGTGTCTCAGGGCCTCCTACTCCTCCTCCCTCGTGTTAAGTTGGAAGGAAAGAGCATCCGACCTCCCCATGGTGACTCCAAGCAGCGCGTCAAGGCACCCACCGCCCCGCTTTCAGTCGGTTGTATCCCCCATGTGTTTCCTCTCCGGTGACGCGTTCCTCGTACCTCACAATTACATGTCACCGCCTCCGTTTGGGAGGGAGAATAAGGTTTCCATCAGAGCAGCTTGGACAAACAATTGCCAGTGACAGCACAGATCCTTCACTGGAGCGGGGAAAACCTCAAGGTCTTTCCTACGCCTCTCCTCTCACAACCAGTTGAATCCAACCATCCCGGAGCCCGCCCCGTTTGACTGGCAACCTCTGCTCTTCCTCATGGAAGTGCTGAGGCAAAGGCACTCTTGTAGAGAAGACAGAAGGGGTCAGTTCTCCTATGTACTCAGGGCTGGCCTCCGAGCAGCATAGATCAGCCCAGAGACACCGAGAGAGCAAGGAGTGCAGTCTGTGCTACGCAAGAACCGCAGTCCTTTAAACCCCACTCACTCAGAAAGGGGATGAGCAGGGAGAAGGCTGTGCCTGAAAGCCTTGAGCCTGATCCTTATGCACACTGCAAGAAGCCAGGTCAGAGCAAGTCCCACCCCACGATGCACTTTGGAACACGCAGTGTTGCTGGACCAGCGGTTCCTGTTGTCTCTCTCCGAGTTCAGGAACTCCACATCTGTTAGAAATGAGCCTGGCCAAGCACCAACCCAACCTCTGAAACCACCCACCAGCTCTGCAAGGACAGGGAGTGCTGGGTTAGACTGGGATGGATTAGAACAGCGGCCTCAAGGGCTGCATTTCCCATCCAGTAACAGGAACCAGAGGTTTTCTCCTAGTTCAAGTGAGTCACTCGTTCAGGATAGCTGTCCTGGGGGAGATGGAGCTATGAGCTGTCCCATCCTCACCAACACCCAATGGTCAGATATCCCATTTGAGAGTCCTATTGTTGGCAGCTTGGCAGATGGAGCTCCAGCCAACAAGCTCTCCTGAGGCAGTTCTGTTTTGCAAAGGCAGAAGAATGCATTACTCTGGTAAATGATGGCAATTTCCCAAATGGCAAAAGCACATTTACACCCATACAACGCATCTAAGTGATGCCTTTACTACATAGAGGGGCAAAACCGAGGAGGTCCCCGACCTCCTGCAAGCACAGCTCCACTGACAAGCCTTTCTCATGTAGATCTGGTTGCCACTTTGGGCTCAGCCTATTCTGTGAAGCTCAGGCAACCTTACACATTCCCCCTGACCAGGTCTGGTTTGATTCCAGCATCAATCACAACAACAATAGGTGATTGCAAGCAGATTCGTGCAGCCGTGTAAGCAGCCTCTGGAACTGGGAAGTCAACACGGCACTCACTCAAACCCCGCTGCATCACCCTACCTTCATCTGCAGGGAAGGGCCTGGCTTGTTGGAGCCACTCGATGAGGGGAACACGCTGCGCAGGAGCCTCCTCTTCAAGCTGTTCTCCCTCGATTTGGAGCTGGGGCTGCCCTCCCCTGCGGGCCTGGAGCTTGCCTGTCGGAGCAGACAAGGCTGAGGCCAGCACTCATCCGAGCTCTTCCTTCCTGCCTTCTCGCTGTCCCCCGGCACGGTCGGCATGTGCTGCAACCCAGAGGCACGCTGCAGGCAGCTGCCGTCGGCACCCTGGAACTCGGAGGGCCCGAGGGACTGGGCTTTCATCACCATGCCGTTGGGATGAGCCTGCCCTTCCAACCGGGCTTTATAATCGGGCCACATCGTCTGCCTCCGGGTCACCTTGCTCCCGCCGTTGCAATTGAGGTAGTTTCCGTACTTGTCCGCCCACTCTGCTTCAGGACTCTGAAGATACATGTCGGGGGGTCTGTCCTCCCCCAGGAGCCCCAGGGACTGCGCTCTCCTCCTGCTGGTGGGGCTCCTTCCCCTCAGGGTGTTGGAGCTGATGGCAGAAAGCTTCTGGATGTCGTTGAGTATCCCGGAGATATACCCTTCCACTTCCACTGTGCTGCCCCTCACCACGGTCTGTGAAACACATAGGGAGGGGAGGGGAAAGTGAGAGCTGGAAAACCAGGCTCAGTTTATGCTGGCAAAGGTTGGATTTTGTTTGTCTGGCCAAAGAAGACTCGAGGACTATAGGAAAAAAAAGAGAGAATTTTCATAGAAACATGGGATGGGTTGGGTTGGAAGGGACCCCAAAGCTCCTCCAGCTCCAACCCCTGCCACGGGCAGGGACCCCTTCCACTGGAGCAGCTTGCTCCAAGCCCCTGTGTCCAACCTGGCCTTGAGCACTGCCAGGGATGGGGCAGCCACAGCTTCTCTGTGCCAGCACCTCAGCACCCTCCCAAGGAAGAGCTTCTGCCTTAGATCTAACCTGAAATTCCCCTGTTTCAGTCTGAACCCATCACCTATTGCTCCACTCCCTGACGAGTCCCTCTCCAGCATCCTCATAGACCCCTTTAGACACTGGAAGCTGCTCTGAGCTCTTCTTCTTCTGTCTTTTTCAGCCTGTCCTTTACTGAGGGGAATTAAACCCAGGCATCTCTGGGTTACATCCTTCTGTCAGGGGCAGCGGAGCTTTCAGCTGGAACAGGGAGTTCTGCTGCTGCAGTCACATTGTAAAGGACACCACTTCTAAAAGCATTAACCAGGGTTATTTCAGCACTCCTGACTCTTCTGGGCCGAGATCGTGCTACGCCACATCACTAACCTGGGCTCACCAAACTCCCGAGGACGTGAGTTCTCAGAAGCTGCAGCATGTTGTAAGCTCTACCTGCAAAAATCCCCTTGCTATTCCAACACGAGGCTCAGCTCTGCCCTGAAGCACTCTCAACAGTGCTGTAATCTGCTTCCCTTAGTCTGGTTCTCGACAATTCTTTGCTAATGCATCCTCATCCTCACCAGTGAGGACCACGCTGTTCCAGCACTGCATCCTCCTCTGCTCCGCCAAGCTATTAGCATTAACAGCGATGAGCAAAGGGTCACAGCGGCTCAGGACTGCTTTGTAAGCAAGCCATGAAGAGCAAGGCTTCCATCCAAGCAAGCAGCAGCACAATACAAGTAGGACACTTGAACCTGCCGGTGTACTATGCACTGCTCTACCTTGTTTATTCTGGAACTGAAAAGCTTACAGAAGCTTTTTTTGGCGCTGGGAACCAAAATGCTTCATTTCTTCACAGAAATTCACAGCATAAGATCACTCCTACACTTTCCTGAATCTCTGCCTGAAGGAAGTCCTTCCCTAGAGGGATGGCAAGCTCCTGTTTGCTAACTGAGCTCCAGGGACCTTCTAAAGATGCTGAATTAATTACATGGAGCCTAATGCTTAGCTGGTGCAAAACAGCAGCTCCAGTAAGTTCAATAGAATCCCACTGCATCAGCGCCCGAGAGCGACAGGCAGAATGGAAGATGCTGTCAAACAAGGTGAAGAAAGGACCGTCCAACTCCTACCACTGCATACACACCATCACCTGCAGCAGGGAATGCAGCTCTCCCTTCAGTCCCGTTGTAGCAATAATCCTCCTTCACCCCATATGTCTACCTTCCTCCGTGGCTGCTGTCAAGCAAACAGCAAACTGAGGACGCTGCTCCTTAAACTGTTTCCATCACTTCTGCACCAGACTTGAGAAGGGAAAGTAATAGCAAAAGTAAATGGTAAGAAACCCTGCCTCTGACACCCATCAGTGGGGTGAGAGTCTTCTGTCAGTTCTAATTCACCCATTAGATATGCCAGAGGTACCCATTACATCAATAACCCACTCAGTTAGGAGCACTAACTCCGAAACGAGCCTGACAAACGTGATATGCACACCCCCAAGTCACAGGACACCCAGCAAGATGCCTCCACAGCCCTGCTCATGCTTGCATGGGCAGATGGGAGAGAAAAGAGGCCCTCCTCCAACTGACGAGGCTGTGTTTCGACAAACTGGGACAAAGGATAGCTCGAAATGAAGTGGGAAGAAATACCCAGAGCCAGTTAATCCAGAGTACGTGGACAAAAGTCCTTCCATAAGGACCTATATCTAACGTGCTCTCAAAGTAAGGAGTCTCCAGAACCTCTTATAGGAAATCCACTCCAGTGCTCACCTCAGCTCCTAGCTAAAACCTTCCTAAATGAGGCTGTAGTCACTCCTGTTGCCTCCTAGGCCATCAAGCCGGTCCTCAGTGGGCAGAGGGGACGGGAGCTGGCTGTGCTTTGCAGCTGTGTTTAAAGGCTGCAGCAGGATGCTGGAGAGGGGTTTTCATCAGGGACCAGAGCAATAGGCCAAGGGTGATGGGTTCAAACTGAAACAGGGGCAGTTCAGGTTGGAGCTAAGGCAGAAGCTCTTCCCTGTGAGGGTGCTGAGGCGCTGGCACAGGGTGCCCAGAGAAGCTGTGGCTGCCCCATCCCTGGCAGTGCTCAAGGCCAGGTTGGACACAGGGGCTTGGAGCAAGCTGCTCCAGTGGAAGGGGTCCCTGCCCGTGGCAGGGGGTTGGAACTGGGTGAGCTTTAGGGTCCCTTCCAACCCAAACCAGGCTGGGATTCTGTGATAGTTTTATCCAGGACTCTCTGTATAAGGGCTTTGCCTAATAGGGCAAATTAACACTTCAAATAAATAATAAATATAGAATCTGAAATTCATTGCTATCATTCAACAGGAATTTGTTCAAATGGAGTTCAACAGAAATAAACAACTAAGCTATGCAGTCTAGGAGAGTATTTGCACTTGGACTCAGTGGGGTAAAAAAAAACAGTATCAGGTTAAGATCCTTCTCTAGTTTTTCAACACTGTTGGTATTCCATCTCTGCTCTCAGAGATTCTCACCTCCCCTCAGCTTTTACCATCCACAGGTTTAAGAAGTCAGACATGAAAGTACTGACTGGTGTTAAACTCTGACTGAACTCCAGTAAATCTCTTTGTATCCATTTCTATTCTGACAGTTACAGCTCGCCCTTCCGAGCAGACTTTTCCTAATACATGAGGAAATGTCCTCAGTTTACTCTGGGAATGCCATAGGTACAGTATCAAGAGCCTAAGTGAAGCCAAGGTACAGGAGAGAGCTCTCATTTCTCCCTGACCCAAAGCCTGATACCCTGTGATTGATGGAAATTGGGTTGCTTGACATGATTTGCTCTTAATAACTCCATGCTGGCTCCTGGCTATTGCCCTGCTAGCTCTCAGGAAGTGGTTGCAAAGAGATTACTTGCTTATTTGTTCCAGTCTTTTTCTGGAAATGGAAATTATTCCGACTGATCCTTGAATTTCATTAGGCCCAGCTGCCTCCAAAACATGGCACTCATCTAGGGAGTCTCAGTTCTGTTCATGGATTTGCTCCAGCCTGCATCCCCACCACATCATGCCCGTGTTAATTGTGTTACCCCACTGATCACAGTTAACCTTTTCAATAGGCTGAAGAAAAAGCATTAAACATTTAAGGGAGACTTCTTCAATGTGTGTGAAGATCCTTCACAGTGTCATCTGTTATTAACTTCCTTCCAAAATGAGCAGGGACAAGGTCTTTCCTTCACCCTCCTTCTCCTCCTCTGTGCACTTACCATGTCTCCATAGTGCCCTTTATGTTCCCTGAGAAGAGCATCTCTTTTTGTGCCTTGGCCTTCCAGTTTTGTTCCTACATACATTTCTATCTGCCCTTTAGAACTTGACCTAGTTTCCACCCTTCTGAGCAATCCTCCTGCAGTTTAAGCTCATTAGAGAGCTCCTGATCCAACCAAGTTGGCCTCTTATTACACAGTTTCTCTCTTCTCTGGACTGTGGTCCTATCTACTCCATTTGAACCTCAAAGCACATTCAGGACACCAGAAACCAGAAGGCAATACCTCCTCCCTCTTTTCTTCTACCTGCTCTTCCTGAGTAAGTTTTTCCTTTCTAAACCAGCATTTTGCTCAGAGGTCCTGGTGTGCCATTTGAATTGCAGGTTTGATTTTGCATTCATGCTTGCGTGATACCAAAAGGTACTCCCATTTATTCCCTATGTCTTGAGCCTCTGCACACAAAACGCTACACATTCATCAGAAACCTACTTTCTTTTATGTCCCTCCTAAAATCCAAGTAGTATCATCTCCGTTTTACAACTTGCCACTCAGATTTGAGGCCCCTGTAGGGTTTTTATTAACCAGGAACAAACCCTTCCCTCAAGCTAGCAGGACTGGAAGCACAATAACTCTGCCACGATCTCTCATTTCGGGTCCCAAGAGGGCATCACGACTCTGCCTCTCCTCACACGGCAGTCACTTAGGAACACACAGCCTCCCGATGCCATTGTAACAGCCATCTAAACCCACCCGTACCAATGCAGGGATCAGGAGCTGGTTTCTCCTTCCTGAAGGACTGGCTTGAAGGATGTTCTCCTATTTACTATGTCCCTCTTTATAAGCCCTTTTTGCCTAAACCTCAGTTTAGCCCTGCTCCCCGTTGGGTCTCATTCACTTCACCACCCATGGGCAGCCAGCTAGTGCTGCCCCGCTCTCTCCCACTCGGGCTTCCTGTTATCTTCACTACCAGCCAGATTGGCTCACCCACGACAACGACACGCTTGCTAAGCGCCTCTCTCCATGAATCCTCCTCTTTGCTTCCATGGGCAACAGCTGAACACATCCCAGGCCCTGGCAGCTACCGGGGGAGCTTTCACAGGTCCTTGTTGCGGTGACAGGCAGCCGGCTGGTCGGTTGACCAGTGACACTATGCCAGCTAAGGACAGCACTGACACCTTGGTTACTATTGCCTCAGGACGGTGTTATCCAAGCCCAGCCCTGGCTATCCACTGAATTCCTTACTGATCCCACCCTTAGCCCCATTTAAATGCACAGTGCCTCCCCAAGGAGCCGGGAAGCCCAAGGGACAGGGAAGAGTAGGCGTTCTTCCTTACCTTCATAGGCTGGAGTTGCATCCTTGTGATCCTCGACGGGTCTACCACCGGCTTGGGGCGCCTTAGGGTATCGAGAATGTTCTGCCATTGAGGCGGCAGGCCCACAAACTTGCCCTCCTTTGGGTCAAAGGAAGTGTGGACGCGGTGCTCAAAGTTCTGCGGAGCAGAGATCTCCGGGCGTTTCTTCTTTTTCTTGCGGAACATGGTGCCTGAAGCAGAGAGGGCAACGCCATCAGTGCGCGTCCAGCTCCAACGGGCCCATCGGCAATAGCAGTATCAACTGTATCACTTAATTACGTTATATTAAGAACGTTCTCCAGTGACAAGCGCTTTAAGGACAGAGGTGATCAGCTGTTTTTACAGGTGAGGAAACAGAGGCAACAAGAGAGCAATGGCTTGCCCCTTTACTCTGCTCTCATGAGACCTCACCTGGAGCATTGTGTGCAGTTCTGGGGTCCTCAACATAAAAAGGACATGGAACTGTTGGGACAAGGCCAGAGGAGGCCACGAGGATGCTCAGGGGCTGGAGCACCTCCTGTATGAAGACAGGCTGAGAAAGTTGGGGCTGTTCAGCCTGGAGAAGAGAAGGCTGCGGGGAGACCTCAGAGCAGCTTCCAGTGTCTGAAGGGGGCCTATAGGGATGCTGGGGAGGGACTCTTCATTAGGGACTGCAGTGACAGGACAAGGGGTAACGGGTTCAAACTGAAACAGGGGAAGTTTAGATTGGATCTAAGGAGGAAATTCTTTCCTGTGAGGGTGCTGAGGCACTGGAATGGGTTGCCCAGGGAGGTTGTGAATGCTCCATCCCTGGCAGTGTTCAAGGCCAGGTTGGACAGAGCCTTGGGTGCCATGGTTTAGTGTGAGGTGTCCCTGCCTGTGGCAGGGGGGTTGGAACTGGATGATCTTAAGGTCCTTTCCAACCCCACCTATTCTATGATTCTATGATTCTATGACTTCGAATGACCTTTCTCATGCTCTGCCCACTGTGAAGCCGTGCTCCCATTTCAGAAAAGGAACAGAGACCTGTATCTGTGTCTGAACTCCTACACTTGGCTTCCTTTACTTCTGCAAATTCATATTACCCAATAAAAGTGTTTTAAATATCTGTAAGAGATAAGGTGTTCTCCATGCCCGCTGCAGGACGGTTGGAACGAGATGATCTTTCAAGCCAAACCTTTCTATGATTCTGTGATATGAACCTGGGTTAAATGGCTTTAGAGGCCAGCCAGTTAAACAGTGTTAATTCCACCACAAGCCTGCAATGCAGAGTGGTTATGGTCATGGCTCAGGGTATCTGCTCCCTGGTTACCCCAGTTAAGTAAAGTATGTTGAATTCCCATTTAAAGACAACCGGGTTGGGCAGCTCTTCCTTTGGCAACAGGAGTGATTTCTGGCTCGCACTATTTCTAGCTAAGGCAGAGGGCCTGGGAGAGGGAGGAGGTGGGAGGTGGAAATCAAACCTGTCAGCAGGTAGCTGAAGAAGCTAAAATTAACACCAAAGACTCCTTTCCCTCGGGGGCTGAGAGAGACGGCTTGTGTGAAGAGCCATTACAACTGCAACAAGCCAAAGGAGCTAGGCTTAAATATACCCCAACACAAGAGACAAGAAAACCCTGCGTTTAGACTTTAGAGCCCAAAAAAGAGATGCAGATGGCTAGAAAACCAAAAGGTTTGGAGCTTTTTGAGGATACAAAGGAAAAGGAAGAACCGGAGCTCCGCAGGCAATCACAGAGGTGGGGAAGCTGGAGTAACTGGAGGGCTGGGATGGATAGGCACAATCTCGTCCTAAAAGACAGAGAGGGAAGATGGGGTGAGGGGAAGCTACCCTTCCCATGAAGGACCAGCTCGGAGGTAGGGAGATTGTCTATGAAGAGCCAGGCTTTTCAGTAGGAGAGTGGTAGAAGTCAGAGATGAGGCATAACAAGAGAGGTCCCACGTGGCTAGAAGGGAGAACACCTTTGCTCCAGGACACAAGCCAGGCCAGCATTGAGCAGGACAGGCTGTGCAGCCTCCATCCTCAGAGGTTTTCAAGAGCAAGCTTCCTCTTGCAGGCAAAGCCCTGAACAACCTGGTGTGACTCTCCAAGAAGACCCTGCTTTGAGCAGTGGGTCCGACTCCAGGTCTCTTGAGGTCCCTTCTCCCCCGAGTTGTTCTCTATTCTATCACCTGGTTTGATGGCTTTGAAGTTACAAGTAGTCCAAGTTACATTTTCCTGTTTGCTGTTGAAGAAACATATTTAATGGGCAGATTGCTGTTTTACTGCCCTATGGATGCAGCGGAAGTGGTGTGCCCCAGCTCTTCACCTCCTCTCCAAGATGCTGTCAGTGCACAGGATGAACTGGGCAATGGGAGCCATCACAGAGATGGGACAAAACAGACTCGGTGCCAAAACGCTTTTAGGTAGTGCAGTGCTAAAGCTCTCTAGTTTGGGAAGAACCTGGACAGGTTTCTTTCAATCATATCCACCAGTAAGGGGAAAACTGTACGTGCTCTTCCCTTTCCACTGGCAGCTTTAACATTAGCACTTGCTTCTCACTCGTACTCTTAAAGCCCTGAACGTTGGCTCCTCCTTGACATCAGATATAGAGAATACTTGTCACTTCAGCTCTGTAACGTTCAGCACCGCAGCGGTCACTCTTCCCCTGCACAGCACCTCACTGTTTGTGCTCAATGAAGATTTACAGGGCTCAGAGACCCAGAACACGCACAGAGAGAACGCGCTGCGGAGATGCGCGCCCGCCTCCAGAGGACACTGGGCTCAAACCCCAGCAAACCTCGCGGGTTTTACCCCACGCTGAAATCTGTCCAGTATTTTCCAGGCTGCTCCACTTCAACCTTGTTTAAGGAGCAAAGCGCAGGCACCAGGTCAATGCCAACTTTGCTTCCTAGTGCCGGGCTGGGATCCTGGGAACACCCGGACACCCTGGCTTAACGTTCGGTTGCCGTGAGCCTGCAGTGACTGCGATGGGAAGTCATGTGTGTTGCAGAAGGACCTTTACACCATCTAAACCCCCTTGGTAAAGTACAGACTTCACACACTGGCAATGCCCATTGCACTACTACATCCGGAAGCCTACTAAAGATATGTTAGAGTTGGAAAGGAAAGCAAAAGGTTAGGCAAGTAAAAAAGCACTTAGAGAAGATGCTGGAAGCAACTGCTCTGCCCAGGAGAGCTTTCACAGCCAGGGTAATCTTTGCTTAAAATATGTTCCAATGAAAACCCAAATACATCTTAATGGAGAGATTATGGGAACTGCCTCTGTGCTCCAGGTCTGGATTGCAGCTACTCACAGTGATTCATAGCATCAGAGTCACAGAGTGGTTTGTGTTGGAAGGGAACTTAAAGCTCCTCCAGCTCCAGCCCCCTGCCATGGGCAGGGACACCTTCCATTAGATCAGGGTGTTCCAAGCCCTGTCCAGCCTGGCCTTGAACACACAGAGGTCAATTCTGTATGGAAACCCAAGTGGAAAGGAAAGGTATTCTAATAGCTCATGGTGTTAGCACTATTCAAACCCACAGCTGGTGCTACTGAGGAGCTTTCACAGCCTCCAAGGAAAGCAGGAAATATCTCTGTAGTATTATATCAAGTGCTTCAGTTCTGAATCATTGACTACATGTCAGTCCTGACAGCTACTTGATCCACCAGAACAGGGGTATTTCCAGACAGAGAAATGGTACCATTTCAACCAGTACCCTCCCTTCTCTCGCTCCTAACTCTCACAGCTCCAGTCCTCATCTCCATAAAGAGAAGCTATTCAGGGCACAACACACAGTGTCTTACAAGTTTGCTCTTTATCTGCTTCAGGTGGCCAGTAAAATGTGGTGTTACGACCATTAGCACTTGTAGCATCCTTTTCTGCACATTTCAGTCATCTCCCTTGAAGGAGAACGATTCCAGCTCAACTAACTCGAGATACAAATCTGGAAAGCCCAGGTGATATTTTGGCCTCAAAGAGAGCAGTGGCTCTATGCCAGCACGTCAGTTTGCATAAGCACAAGCACTACATTTGTGTCCTTACATTCAGTCAACACCTAGACTCCACCTAGATCCTCTATACAAAGCATGCTTCCTAAACCCAGCCAGAAGCATCTACTAAGGGCACGGTCAGTTTGAGGGTGAGGAGCTGACATGGCCTGACTCTCCCTTCTGCCTATAACAGACATCTTAAAACCAGCAAAATGGAATCAGCTCCAAACCCAACATACCCCAGGGTAGCCACTGACATTTCCTTTATAGAGCCAGCATCAATCTTTGCTTATACAGATGCTGCTGTATCAGACAGGTGGTTTAAAGGTACCGCTGTGCTGAGAGCAAATGGAAGGAATACGCTAAAAATAGTTACTTGAAAGGCAACGGGTTGCAGTAATCGGTTAGGCTTTGCCTTTCATTGAGGAGGTCTGGGTTTAAGCAGCCTGCTTTCACTTGTGGTTTTCACGCACAAGCTCTTTACTTGTATTTCCAATAGCCAGCTAAAGCATGTTGCAATACAATACATAAAACAGGCCTTTTCTCATTCAGCAGAACAACGTTTGATGCAGAGGAGGTTTTGCACATCAAGCCAAACCTGTATTTGAACGCAGACAGCATCCCTTCCATACAACAGCCCAAATCCTGTGACACTGACTTTGTAACCATCCCCTAGACTTGAGGCTTCCATTCACTGCTGACAACGGCACCGTACGACATGGCACAAACATAAAGAAGGAAAGTCACTACCACGAGACAAAAGCAGGCGGAGATTGGAATTCTCTCAGCGATCCATTCCTGCTGCCTGGGAAACCACGTTAGGCTTTCCAGCTCCGCGCAGAGCTGCTCCTAGAGGATACAGTTCCGAGAGCTGTCACAGCTGCCAGGGGACATGAGAAACCCCCCCTCCCCAGCCAGCACATCCAGAGCAGAGGGAGGGATCGGCTGGGAAGGAGGGGCAGGAGGAGAGAAGGGTCAGGCTCAGAGGAGAGGAAGGGGTGGGAAGATAAGGGTGGAAAGAGGGCAAGGGGAATGGGAGTTAGGAAGGGAAAGAGGAGTGGCTGGGAGCCAGGCAACCCGAGGAGCAGGGCACGGGGAAGAGCCAACCCCACTGCAAAACAGAAGTAGGCAAACGTTGGCAGGAATCGCCCGGTGAGCCAGCCGAGTTCAAGCTCACAGAGCAGCATGCACTGTCATTGCACCCGACTTGCCTCCCCCCCATACACCATTAGTAGAGATGCGCTGTACTTATCCACGTCCGTGTTCACCCACACCTACACTCGATGGCAGCAAGACAGCAGAGCTACTCCGGTCTCACTTGGGTAGTTCCCAGTTAAAAATAAGCTGCTTTCCCTCCCCCTGCTCACTGCAGCAACCCACCGCGCTCCTCCGTGCCTGTGGCTCTGCTACCGCGGATCTGGATGCCGCTCTCCACATTCCTCCCTCCCCACGCAGCAGATAACGTTGGTCCCTGGGCTGCAGCGAGCCGTCCCCCTGATTTCTAAGCGCTTCCTCAGCTGATGGATCAGACCGCTCAGGACAGCTACGGGAGGAGGGGGAGAGGAGGACAGCCCTTCCTACAGGACCTGGGGAACGGCAACCTGCAGGCTGGGTTCGGAGGGGGAAGATGAAGAAGATCCCGAAGAGCCCAGCGATGAAAAGGGAAACCCTTTGCATACTGTGCCACGGGTCGCTGTCACGTACTGCATTTCAAAGGCAGCACAAGTTAAATAGGCTGCTGTCGCTGCACGTGCTCCCGCATACGGACGGCTGAGCGTGCACCCGGGGTACTTCACTGTGTTTGGTACCTCCCAGACCCTACTGCTTGCCCTCCTGAGGTTTCTGATGTGGCTCCTGTTTATGACAAGCCATAAAGGTCCAGAGCAGTCGGGAGGCCAAGGGAAATGGCAGGTTAATTCCCTGGGGAGTTACGGACCTCAGTGCCACTTCCCACAGCGAGGGATGGCAGCAGAGGGTGAGCAAAAGGGGGAAAGCGAATGAGCTGATGTCGGAAACGGGAGCTAAGAGCAGGGAGCTTGGCCCGATGGCACCTTCCACACTGGTCTGCAATTCTGGGTTAGGAACTTCAATTTCTCCTCAAGGAAGAGCGGATATTTGCTTGCTGTGCTGCCACGTCCCCAATTTCGAGTCCTTTCCTTTCCCTCCTCTCTCAGCCCCCACCAGTGTTAGAGCAAAGCAGCAGCGCAGCAAACTGATGCAGTGCTCTAAATCCTGCCCAAACACACACGCGAGGGCACAGATTAATATTACATTAGAAATGAGCTTCGGGGCAGACGTATTTGTTATATCGGGGGGGTTCTGCTTGACAAATGAGAAAGAGAACACGGCTGCTGGATGGCCTTTGCTGTGCTCACTCTCAACAAGCTCTGAAGGCCACGGTGCTGCCTCTTTTCCTCCTGCTCCATTTCCTTGCTCATAAATTAGGAGTAAAGCCTGGAACGCAGTGAACGCCTATTTGCAAAGCCTGTTTTGGACGCTGCTCAGTGACATACTTTTAGGTGTGTTTTTAGACCAAATCCATTCTGGGACATAGAAAAGCACTTGCAAAGACCTCTCGAACTTTCACAAACCAGTACAGGCGCGTCCCAAATGCTAATGGGCTTTCTCCCTTGGCAAATCCCAGTTTTCCCATTCTTTCCAGACCCTTCCAAATCCCAGCTCAAAGTCACTGTCCCATCGCACCAGTCTCTGAAGCTGGGCCCCACCCTGCAGAGGTTTCATCTGACCAGACAAAAGGTAAGGAAAAGGAATTATTATTATCCCCATTTGCAGGCGAGACAGGACAACAAGGAGTAGCTCAGTTTCTTCCCAGCTATGTCTAGATCAGCAGAGCAAAAAGAGCTTCTAGGGATGTCTCCTGGCTGCTTTTTAACTCCATATCAAGGCCAGATCCAAGCCCAACACCCCCTGGCTTCCACGGGGAGAAAACATGGGTGCGCAGCACGGGGGGAGCCAAGAGATGCTCTGACCACACGTTTCACCTCGACACCAGCACGCAGGGCTCGACACCGTGACAGAAACCAGGAATCACACCCAAACCTCGAGTGCAAGCCACTGCCTTCATTATGAGATCAGCCTCTGCCATCTGCGTTTGGGTGTTCGGAGGGTTGCAGCTAACAGATACCACCGCAGCACCCAGGGAGGGCTGCAGCTCACAGCCTCCTCACACACAGCCAGTGAGATGAGTGCTGCAGGCATAAAGCTGAGGCAGAAGCCATTAAAACAACAATGACCCTTTTCCTCCACCTTTCAAATGCCTTGAAACGCGGCTGTGAGCTGTTCTGGAGACAAAAACCCATGCAACACATCACCTTTTGACACGAGTCTTACCCATGCGTGCTTCACTGTTCCACGTCCAAAGAGTATCTGCATTGCTTCAGATGGGTTTACTGACATTATTTCCGATGGGCTTACTGGCATCATTGTGCCATGAAGGATGCATTAGGGTTAAAAACAAGTGGCTGTATTTGACTGTTAATCCTGAATATCAGAAAGCTTCAAGACAGGGATTAAAGGCTGTGGGGCTTCACTCTCCACTGTCTTGTGTGACAGATCCATTCAAAGTGAGCATGAAAATACCACCAAGATTAGAGTAAGAACATTTAAGGTTCTGCTTCTAAAAAAATCACGTGAATAGCAACATCTTACGTATCAGATAGGAGGTTATGTTGGGACAAGTGCAAGGGGCCACATCTGGCATGCTGGCTCTTGGCCAGCCAAGGCACTGGGCTGCAGCTGGTGAACACGCTCCTTCCAGCAAAGCACTCTGAAATGCTGGCTGCCACGGTCTGCAGTTCTGTCCGAGCCCTGTAACCCCCTACCACACCATGGGTCACAGAGCGGGCTGCCTCTGGAACGCTGGGTTATGGGGGGAAGCTGCTAACGTCCGTGGCACAGACCTTACAGTGGGGAAGCACCAGGCGGGACCCGAGCAAGAGCGGCACACTCAGCAAGCACGGCCCATGGCTTGCACCCGGACCTGTCCCAGCAGAGGCACTGGTGCCCACAGTCCTCACTCCAGCAGCATGGCAAAGGGCTGGAAGAGACACCTCAGTGATGCCCTGGAGCACCCGAGTACCGAGACGCAAGAGTTAAACTGCCTTCCAAACCACACTAAGCAACCCGAGTCCTTATTTATGATCACCGTGTTCTCCCAAAGTGATACGGACGCGTTTCACTGCTGTCAACAGCCTGCGAGGCAGTTTACTCCTGCTATTCCCACCGGAAAACTGCAGCCCAGGCAGTGTGCCCCAAACGCGGAGCAGACAGACGAGCTCAGACCCCACAACCTGGCTGACCCTCAGTGCCTTCCTCCTCACTGCTGTCAACCCCCAGAGGGAAATCAGACAAGTCTTCTCCTTGGGAGTATGGGGTTTTCTGTTCTGCTTGGAAAGGAAGAACATCACCATCAGTATGAGCGTTCACAGGGCGCTTCAGACATTAAAACCTGAGTGCACTTAGAACACAAGTAAAGATAAATACCTGTTGTCTGCAGTTACGCTGTGCATCACTTAATTCCAAAGGAATCTCATTACTAACACTGTAAGTTAAAACGGTTCAGCCTGGGGGGAAATGGAATTCCCTGAGATTTTGGAGGCACTTTTTGAACTCGAAGTTCAAACCTCTTTCAGCACCCTACATTCACATTGCTCTCTTATGCCAGGCAAATGGAAGATGGGTCTCAAAACAACATCATCACCATCATCACTAACGACCAAACGTCAGCGCATCAGTTCTCAAACCATACTGAGAAAACCCTTTAAACCAGACCTGCATCAGCCGAGTCCCACTTCTGTACACCCCTGTGCTGCGTCCATTGTAACTTCAAAGCCAGTGACACTGGTGCAGGAGCAGGGTTAGTAGAACAGGAAGAAAGCAGGTCTCCTATCCAAAACCTCCCTGCAAGCTTGCTGTCCTCTCTCTAGCTATCAGTGCTGTGCAGCACAACCTGCTAGTCAGCCTTCAGCTGCTCTTGGTGACCTCAGAGCTGCTGCTCCTCTCCATGTACTGATGCACAGCTCTGGATGTGACCAGACTTCATCATCTCTATTAGCACCCTCAAGAAACCACGATGCACATTTCAGAACCTGCCTGGGTTTTTACTTGCAGTTGGTGTAGGTAAGTCCAAGCTGCTTTAAGCCATTTGCACTAAGTATTTCGCTCCTTCCTCTGCTTGCGAATTTCCCTAAGCACATTAGAGAAGTAGGTTAGGAAGTGCTCTTCTTCTGATTGGAGGCAGGACAGCAAAACTTTTATAGTTGCTTCTCCCTGGCAACCAAAACCATTTTGTGACCAAGCAAGAGAGATGGTTCTCACTCCTGCAAGCCTAGGCAGCAGGACCCGGGTACGCACATAGCCCTGTACAAGGAGCAGACTGGAAGCAGGGTTACTGAGAGCTCTTTCTGCTATTTGATCAGCTTTGCTACTGGATACATAAACCATTGCTCACACTTAGCACAAAGGATGTACATACCAAGGCAGTGTAGAGTGTTCATCACGCTGTCGAGAATGAGACTTTTCAGTGGGACAGGGGTTCAGAGAGAGTCATGCAGCAGGGATCCTTCCCCCAGTGTAGGGGCTGATTCAGGTTTTACCCAAGCACAGAACTCATAAAAGCAGAGGAAGACTCAGCAAATATCATTTACTCTATGTACATCGCCCTCCACCTCACCCGAAAGCTCACACTCACCAGCCACAAACTTCTCTTCTGGTTTGTCAGTACTCTGTCCCCAAACACATTAAAGCATTAATGTCCTGGCAAAGAGAAAAAGCAAAAGCATCAGCCAACCTCCTTTCTGCAGCTGTAAATACCTTGCTCTTTATGTTGGTTACTACCTGGCACAAATAATGAAGCACAAATGCCCAGGGTAGCTTAACCAGGAGGAGGTGAGGCAGCTTTCAGGTAGCCAAAATCCGCTCACGTGCCCATACCCACATGAGTACTACGGGTGAGTTTTAGTGGGTGTGCTGAAAGGCTCCTGGCGGGCACAGCAGCCAGAGGTCAGGAGTACAGACATGCAGGCTTTAATCAGGGAGTCAATAAGACCTCACGAGATACGATGACGGTCCTTCAGATACAAGAGATCTCGGAGGAGATGCTGCTACGTCTCCCATAAAGGCAATGAGCATGCATGTTCCTGACATGCTGTCTGCTTTCCCAAGCATCATCCAGAGTCATTTTTAACCCCTCCTTTATCGTGGTGGTTTAAGAGCATCACCCTGCAAGATTCAGCAATGCATGTTCCTCTCCATATTCCCCACAGTCTTGAGGGGCGATAGGCTCTAAACCCCAGGCACCGCAGACCCAAACGCTGGTCCACCTACAAGACACTGGGAAGTAAAGAAACACAAGATCTTACTGGCAGTCCTGCTGCAACAATGCCGGTAGAGGACAACTCCAAGTGAGAGGAGAAAGAAGGGTCCGGAGGGGAACCTCTCCCACTGTCATGCAGCAAAGCCGATTGGAGGACGGTGTTGCTGGGCTATAGGAGTAAAGACGAAGTAAAGTCCTTCCCAAAGGAATCCAGCTCCCGGTTTCTCTCCCCTTCCAGGACCATCCCTTGAGAGAAGAAATGTCATGACCCCCTGAAACCATTCCCCTCTCGCTCTGCCCTAGCCTGGCGCTGCCAGCGCAGGCTGACGCTTAGCTCCGGAGGGAAGGGGTTAAGCCGTAGCAGCACAGCCACCGGGGAGCGAAGACGTTAGCTCGAACTGACAAACCCAGTCCTCTGTAAACAGAGGAGCAGCAGCCATCGGGGCACGGGCGGTTCCTGCTCCGCAGCGAGCAAGCCGGTGTGGAGCCCCAGAGCTGCCGGAGGGAGCTCACCCCCGGCTCCTCATCGCTCCGCAGGCAGGGCTGAGGTGCGAGCGCTCCGCCACCGGGATCCGCTGACACGCCGCTAAACTGCCGGGGGAAAGGCGGCGGGAGCGAGCGGGAGGAGGAAAAGGGGTGGAGGCAAGTCTGACATGTTTGTACAGTGCCTGCTTCACCTACGCTGCCCGGTTTGAGTTCAGGGCGTGGTAGCAGCTCCTAGCGCCGGGAAGCCTCAGGTCCCTCTTCCAAGGCAAAGGACAGGCGCCGGCAGCAGAGCCTCTCGGGACCCTCCTGCCTCCTTCGCATCGTCTTCTCCTTCTCTGGTCCCTAGAGGGGATGAGAAAGAGCTCAGAGTCACACCTGGGCACTGAGGTCCTGCTGGAGCCTTGCGGAGATCACCTCCTGTTCCCCTCCATCCTTTCTGCACAGCCCCACTTCGCTGCTCACTTATTAAAGCTCGTCAGCTCTTCCCTCTCTGCTCCACAGCCCCAGGGCCTGGAGCTGCTGCTGCTTCGAACGAACCCAGCATCTCCGCCAGCGTTGCCTGGCTGCAGACTCGAGGACCTGCCCCGATCCCCTTGTCGTGCCCGGCAGGAAGGCTTTGATTTCTTGCTCTGTGGCCGGGCTATAGGGGAGCTCACCCATGTGTTTGCATTGCAGATGAGCAGCGCAGGACCTGGTGCTTTTTACTTCTCCCCTGTCGCTGCCTGGCGTGAGACAGTGCTGCGAGGGCTGAAGTCTGGCATCACCCTGCAAGCCTGACGCCGTGCCCCGGCGCTCACCAGCTCCTGGAAGCAGCCAGTTCCAACGAGCAGCTCGTGGTCCGTGGGACACCAGCTCCATCGCCAGTGCTGAGGGATGGGCAGGGCTGCCAAGGGGCATCGTTAGGGGACACGGGGGGGGATTACAACCCGGGAGAGGTCAGGGTGCGTGTCAGCAAAGCCATCAGTGCTCCACTGCAAACAGAGAGGGGTCTGGGCCTCTGCAAACAACTGACAATGCTGGCTTAACCCTCGGATACTCTTAGGTCCAAAGAGCAGAGATAAAAGCCCTAAATCCACCTTTGCTGAACCACCCTTAAAGTAAATAAAGGGCATGCTACAAATAAGCAGGAGGCTGTCGCCACTTCTGCTGGCAGAGGTTTGTCCATCAGAGGCAGGCCAGCCCAGCGGCCTTTCAGCCGTGTTTCCCCGTTCCCATTTTCCTCCCTACCTGTTCATCCCACCTAACTAGGCTGTGGTGTCTTTGTACAGCAGCCAGAGTCACAGATCTATTGGGGATGCAGATCTGTGGGTTGGGAACGCAGGCCTAGCAGTATCACGGGGACAGAACAGGACTGGGGTTCATATAGAGAACATAAAGGGAAGCCTGGCATTGTATTGGTGATCTGAGGTTCCTAATCCCCATCTCCAGACCTGCTGAGCTGTGGAAAGCTGCTTCCTGAAAGTGCTGTCACCACTACGACGTTACACAGCAGGTCCCTGCCTGCCAGAGCCTGCCAAAGAGACCAAGGTTTCCTGCCTGTTACCTCACAGCAGCATCCCTAGGCTATAGGAAATAGAGGTAGCCAGGTTCCTTTCTGTCTGGGGATGAGCTTGTCTCCCACAGGGCAGGCCCTGTGCACAGATGTAATCAGAAGTCCACGTTAATAGCAGTAGATAAACTACAGTCAAGAGAGGGGGACACATTCTTTCTCTAGAAGACTGGAACTTGCAAGGCAGAAGCAGCCTGGTGGAGGATCAGAGATGAGGAAACAGAGCGTAATCCTGCTAGGTGTGGAGGAGAGGGCAAAGTCGCTGTCATCTGTTGCATCTCTGCTTTGCTGATGCGCCAGTCAGTGAGGAGACGTCTACACCACCATAGCTTTGGGAGCATCACAAAGAAATGCCATTTGTATGCTACAAGGAGTCAGCCAGGCTTGGAACCGGCTTCACATTTGCATAAGGATTATATTTGATGGGCTTACATGCTAAGACAGCCTTCTAGAGCAAGACACGAGTGCTTTATAAACGGAAGAGCCTGATTTTTACTCGTCAAGACCCAAGTTTAGAGGAAACCAAGGCAGCCTTGAGTTGGTGTGAACCTCCGCTGCCTACGGTCTGAATGAAAAACGAGGACACTTCCCAGTGTTTCTGTTCACAGGTTTGCTCCCAGCAGTCCTACACTCTGCGAAGAAAAATTTCCCAGTCAAAAGTGATGCATTTCTAAGTTTCCTCTTTAGCAACTGCCCAATATTAAACATTTCCCTGCCCACTGCTCCCTTCTTACCTCGGGAGCTGCACGAGATGATGTAAGTAATGCTACTCACACATCTCTATAACCACACACACGCACACCCCGCTCCTCCTACGGCTGCTCTGCTCCATGCTGCTCATTCAGGTCCTGTCTGCCTGGGCTATGGCAGCCAGAATTGGCAAGCAAGAAGTGCTGCAGGGTACATTGACTAACTGCTTGCACTGCAGACTGCCTGATTTATCTGCATGCACAGCAAAGGCTATTCCGCGCTCCACGTCCCCCCCCCAGACACCAAGCACAGCCAATTCAGATCAGAACTGCGAACCTCACCTCCTTCCTCAGCCTGCCCATTCATGTCCCTGCACCAGGAAGGCACCAGGACCTCAAGTCCTGGGCTGCTGCTGTTATTGATTCCCTTTCAACCCATTTCCTCTCTACTGGAACAGAATTTTGTGAGGGAAAAGGAAACCCTTTTCAACATTTTAGCATGCCAACAGGCACTTCCAATCTTCAGACAGAATCAGAGAATCATAGAACAGTCAGGGTTGGAAAGGACCCTAAGATCATCCAGTTCCAACCCCCTGCCATGGGCAGGGACACCTCACACTAAACCATGGCACCCAAGGCTCTGTCCAACCTGGCCTTGAACACTGCCAGGGATGGAGCATTCACAACCTCCCTGGGCAACCCATTCCAGTGCCTCAGCACCCTCACAGGAAAGAATTTCTCCTTAGATCCAATCTAAACTTCCCCTGTTTCAGTTTGAACCCGTTACCCCTTGTCCTGTCACTGCAGTCCCTAATGAAGAGTCCCTCCCCAGCATCCCTATAGGCCCCCTTCAGACACTGGAAGCTGCTCTGAGGTCTCCCCGCAGCCTTCTCTTCTCCAGCCTGAGCAGCCCCACCAATTCTACCATCTACAAAAAGCCTTTCTGCTACCTCAGTCAGGAGAAATGTCCTTGGGCACCCTTTGGAGCTTGTGGGACCCGGGCAAACTGTTAGGAAAAAGGAATCCTGCTTCAACAAAGCTTCCAGAGAAGCCTAACACCAAAGCACAGCAAATCCGAGGCAGGCAGGAAGTCCCAGTAAGATCTAAGGCAATTTCATCCGCTGGAGATGGGCTGTGGTTCAGAGCCAGACCTCCCAGCCGGGCTCCTCCGAGCGCTGGGCTTCGCCAGGAAGCACAAATGCACTTCCATCAAAGGAGTGTGGTCCCTCTTCTCGTTCAGAACTCTTGAGGTCCAGAGCAAGCTGGCCAGGGAAGGTTAAAAATACACCAAGGACTGGGACTTGGGCTGTGTTGCAACTCCACAGAGCATCAGCATCGGCTGGTGGGAAGAAGCACGAGATAGGAATCAAGCCTGCAAGTCTGCTAATCAAACACATGACATTAGCCAGGACTGGAGATAAGGAGGGAGCAGTCCAGAGGCAGTTTCACTTTAAATAAGTGCTTACAGCTCAGCTGCCTTCCCCAAGGCTGCTGCCTGCAGAGGTGGGAAGAGCATTTTGAGGGAGTGCTATTTGGCTTGCTAGCTGTCATGTTCAGGTTATCCTCCTGCTTGCGATGCATTGCTGACAGTACAGAGGCAGTGTCCTGGAGATCCCAGTAGGATCCACTAGGTCCTGCTGGATGGGAAGCTCAGCATGAGCCAGCAGCAGCCCAGAACCCCCCTGTCTGCAGGGCTGCACCCCCAGAGCGTGAGGTCAGGGAGGGAATCCTCCTCTTCTGCAGCATGAAGGGGGGACCTGAGAGCAGCTCCAGTGCCTGAAGGGGCTGCAGGAAACCTGGAGAGGGGCTTGGGACAAGGGCCTGGAGGGACAGGCCAAGGGGAATGGCTTGAACCTGCCCGAGGGGAGACTGAGCTGAGCTCTTAGGCAGAAGCTCTTCCCTGGGAGGGTGCTGAGGCGCTGGCACAGGGTGCCCAGAGAAGCTGTGGCTGCCCCATCCCTGGCAGTGTTCAAGGGCAGGTTGGACACAGGGGCTTGGAGCAAGCTGCTCCAGTGGAAGGGGTCCCTGCCCGTGGCAGGGGTTGGAGCTGGACGAGCTTTCAGGTCCCTTCCAACCCAAACCAGGCTGGGATGCTGTGATTTTGTGGCAGAGCTGCATCTGCACGAGCTCCTTCGGTGTGCTGGGAAGTGGCTCAAGGTTTACAGACTGAGCCAGCCCCCGTTTCTTTTGGTCCAATTCAAAACGAGAAACAAATGCCCCAAGCATGAAGACCTGGAGGTCGCTTTAGCCACTCCATCACCTCTGCCAGGGCACCGCAGGCTCCACGAGACGAGGGCACGCTCCCGCACTCAACCCTGGCAGGGCAGTGGAGCGCTCAGTCCCTTTCCACCATGTGCACCACACCCAGTGCAACCCACACTGGGTCACAGGAGAGAAGGAAGTTTGTGCTGCTTCAGGCTCTTGTGGCACCAAGAACCACAGCCAGGCTCTGTTCGACCCAGCGACTCCAATGGGGGAGCCAAGTAGAGCCAGCGCTGGGACGAGCAGATCCTGCCAGGCTGAGGCCTCTGGGCTGGAGCAGAGAGCTGAGAACACAGGCAAGAATCAGAGAATCATAGAACAGTTGGGTTGGAAAGGACCCCAAGATCATCCAGTTCCAACCCCCTGCATGGGCAGGGACACCTCACACTAAACCATGGCACTCAAGGCTCTGTCCAACCTGGCCTTGAACACTGCCAGGGATGGAGCATTCACAACCTCCCTGGGCAACCCATTCCAGTGCCTCAGCACCCTCACAGGAAAGGATTTCCTCCTTAGATCCAATCTAAACTTCCCCTGTTTAAAGCAGATTAAGCTTAAGGAGAGCAAGAAAACAGCAGACTCTGTGAAAACCTTCACTGCCGCTGTGATGAGGAGTTGGAATTGATGCTCGAGAGGATCACCTGAACACAGCACACGCTATGTTGCTACTGGTTGAATTCCTGTGGCTTGGGAGACATTCCCTGCAGATGATATCAATAGAG